CCCCGCCCCGCCCCGCCCCGCCCCGCCCCGCCCCGCCCCGCCCGCACTCACCGCACAGAGGTAGCCGGAGCCGGGCGTGGTGTCGAGGCCCAGCAGCAGGCGGGTGATGGTGATCATGTAGTCCTTCACGAAGGACTGCAGCGTGTGGGAGGGAGCCGTGACTGCCTGCCCCGAGCCTCTCCTGCTCGCGAGCGCAGCAGGGCGGCCCCAGGCCCGCAGCCAGCTCGGGCTCTAGTGGATGCACGGACGAAGGACGGCGGAGGTGCGGAACCCAGACCCTAAGCCCCGCCCGAACCCCGGCGGAGCTGCCCGACTGACCTGGTAGAGCAGCGTGTCGAGCATGCTGATGCTGAACACGCGGCCGGCGGCGAACGGCAGGCGGAACATGAAGGCCAGGTTGGAGCCGTTCTCGCGCTCACGCTGCAGGAGAGGGGCCTCAGACGCCGGCGCCCACCGGGTGGAGCGCCTACGCACGCACGCACGCACGCACGCACGCGAACACGCCCCGGGGGCTGCACGCCCCAGGGGAGGGAAGATTCCAGACCGAGGGGGCCCCACTCCCTGCCTGTGCCCCTGCAGTTGGCCCCGAGTTTCGCTTCATGGGGCAGGGAGGCTGGGGGCCTCATGTGCCAGGCCAGGCTTACACCGCCCTGGACCCCAACCCCAGATTCTTAACCCAGCAGTTTCATCTTGACCCACAACTTTGTGCATGCACTGAGGATGTGGGGCAGGGACAGGAGGGGGGCCGGCAGGCACCTACCACCCCCTTCCCACACTGCCCAGGACCCTCCTGGGGCTGCCAAGAAGAAGTCACAAACTTAGTGGCTTAAAACAAGTCACCTCCCCAGGCTGACGTCCAGGTCAGGGGCCTTGCACTCTACACAGGAGCAGGCAGCTCCACAGCCACTTCCCGGGGAACCTCAGTCCCCCCAGCCTGGGCAGCCCGTTCCGTCTCTGCCTCCTTTTTCCAAAAGCCACAGTGACGTGGGGCCCGTATGGCCAGCCCTGCTCCTCTCCCATGCATGGACTCTTCTGCCACAGAAGGGGACATCCCACACTCTGAGATGGGCTTGGGATGGCTTCCTGGCCATTCTTTGTCCAGCTGTGGCCATGTGGGGTGGCTCAGAAGCACATGGCTTCGAGGGACGCAGCCAGGCACCCAGTGAGACCTCCTTTCAGCCCCAGGTGGCAACAAGTGTGGCTCAGGGTGTGAGGGGATTCGCTGGGCAAAACAGGGCACGTTGACCTTGTGCTTGAGGCGACCCCAGATTAGCATGGCCAGTGATGAAGGGGACAGTGAAACCCCCATCCTTAAAAACCTTTGCCTCCCTGGACCTGCCCCTCTCGGAGCCATCCTGCTTCCAGCCAGGGCTGCACCTCTCCTGCCTGAAATCCACATAGCTGTTCTCAGAGTGCGGCTGCAATGGGGGTGAGGTGGACAGACCCAAGCGATGCTGCCCCAAGGCTGCTAGTGCTGGGGCCGGACGCTCGCCTGCCCTGGCCAGCTCCGCGGTGTCCCAGCCGTGTGTCCACACTCGTGCACACCCTTCTTGCCACGGCACACTCATCTCAGGGCAGGGAGTGGTTTCCACTCTGCCTTCTACGTCAGCTTCGAGGCAAATCCAGGACATCACGTGGACTTGGATGCTTGGCGGCAGCAGCAGCTACCATTCTTCCTCTGGGAAACCTGCTCCGCGTGTCTCCTGGTCGGATGCAGCTGCAGGAGCTCAGCGTGATGTCTTTTTTGAAACTTCTTCAGCTTTTCAGTATTGCTTTGTGTCATGGAATATGCGTTACCTTAAGTGTGCTTTTATGTTCAGCTAAGTCACATGGGTCTCAAGCTGCCAGGGGCTTTGTATGCCATATCTGGAAACTCAAGGAGCCTAGGGACCCCAAGCCCAGAAGATGAGGGCCCTGCCCCCCAGCAGGCCTGGCACCTACCAGGGACAGCATGACCGCAGACCCTGTCACCCCATCCTGAGCCAATTCCTGAGGGCTGGCAACCCCTGAGGGACCAGCCTCACATCAGAGTCCCCTGATGAGCCCAGGACATTCACTGTCAGGAGGTGCTGGAGCAGGTGGGTGGCACTCGGCTGCCCAGCCCTGCTGGAGGTGGTGACAGCTGGTGGTGTCCATGGGGAAGGCGGCCCAGCATTGCCAGGCTGCTGCATGTCTGCCAGCCTCCCTATCCAGGCCACTTGAGCCAGGCATATTGTGGGGAGACGGCGCTGGTTCTGGGGTGGCCTAGACACTGTCCCCATGTACACTGAGCCAGAATCAGTCTTCAGAGTGGCCTCCTTAGCCCAGTGCAAGCCTCAGGAATGGCTAAGGAGGCAGAGCTGCCCCATGTGACCTCCTCCTGGGACATGAAGCTGCCCAGATCTGGGGGGGACAGGACTCCCACCAGCACCTCCTGCACCTGGAGTGCAACAGCAGCAGCGCTGAAGTCCCGAGGGTCCTGGGTCCCGCTGTTTGGAACCCGCATGTGTGAAGTCTGCCCTGACTCAGATGGGCAGTGCTGGAAGGTCCTCCCTAGCAGCCACATGGGCCATGGCACCGCTGTGCCCAGCCTGGTGCCCACAGGCCCACGATGTGCAGAGAGCTCGGTGGCTTCCGGCCATGCCGGCCCCAGTCTCCTGCAGCAGCTTGCCAGGTTCCAGGTATCTGGCTGCCCTCACACTCACCAGCCCCTGGTAGGCAGGTGGCACTGCCACTGGCCTAGGCAGGAGGCACCAGGGCACCCTGGCAGGGACTGCGCACTGAGAGGCCCATGCTCCCAGTGGGCCCTGTGCCTACTGTGTCCTCAGCCCTGGCGGCCCTGTCCCGGCTCCACAGGTGACCCCAGCTGCTGCTCTGCAGCGCAGAGCCCTCGAGTGACAAAGGGGGAGCTGAGCAGGGCAGCTCTGCTGTGCCCGGCCTGTGGGCCACTGGGCCTGGCTCTCCTCTGTCCCCAGGAGGATGGTGCATGACCAGGGGATGTGCTGGCAGCACCTCTGCGGGGCCCTGTGCGGACCAAAGGCCAGCAAGACAGCCGGCCTCGGCTCCTGGGGGTCAGCAGGGTCCTGTGTGCCCAGTGCCCCGCCCCGCACCAGAGCCCTGTGCTAGGGCCACTCACCTTCTCCAGCTTGGAGAGTGCCAGCGAGTAGCTGTCCTTGGCACGGAACTGCATGAAGCGCATGTTGGAGGGGTGCGTGAGCTCCGTGGTGATGCTGAGGCTGGGGAAGAGCCTGCGAGGGGCCCAGCCCTGGGCGTGAGGGGGGCATGCTGGGCGGGGGCCCCCGGGCCCCAGGTGGGGTCTCCGGCCCGACTGCGGCCCTCACCGGAACATGGTCTGCACGTTGACGATGGTTTTGGCGTCGGCCATGTAGTCCTCCTCGGCACTCATGGTGCTCTCCTTGTCCACCACCACCAGGTTGTCAGCATAGATGATGCCGCACTGCAGCAGGCTGTCCAGGCTGCGGGCAGGAGGAGCCGTGGCCGCCACCCCCGCCTTGCCCTTGCCCACCAGGCGAGCGCAGGGCACGGCGCATGCGGGGTGCACGGCTCCTGTGGTCCTGGCCTTACTTGTCCACTGAGCCCTCCATGTAGTAGACCATAGGGAAGCAGCAGATGGCCTCCAGGAAGTGGTGGTCAGGCCTGTGGGGACAGCAGGCTGGGGGTGGCGCCGAGTCTGCATCTGCCCTCCCCACGCCCCAGAGCAGCAGGCGACCCAGGGGAGGCAGCGCCGCGCAGGGCCCCCGGGGCCAGCAGCCAGACCGGACCCTGGGAGCCCACCCCCAGGGGAACCAGGAGGAGCAGCAGCCGGGCAGCCCGGCTGTGGGGATGCAAGACCTGGGGGGAGGACCACACAGCTGCCGAGGTGCAGCAGCGCCACCTGTTGTCCAGCAGCAGCACAATGGGGTTGAGCTCTTTGCGGGGCCTGTAGTAGGCCCGAAGCGGCACAATGAAGTTGTACAGCCCGTTGCCAGCTGTCTCTGCCGACACGATGATGAGCTTGTTCTTGAACCCATAGGCCTTGGCATCCTCGTAGCTATTGTGCTTGCAGCCCTGGGGGTAGAGCCAGTGCTGCCACCGAGCTCGGCTTCACCTGCCTGCAGCCTGGGCCCCCCACTTGGGAGGCTGAGGCAGGAGGGTCACCTCGAATTTGAGGCCACCCTGGGCTCCACAGTAAGTCCGAGGCCAGCCTGGACGACATGGTGAGACCATGTCTCAAAATCAAAAACAAAAACAAACCTAAAAGCAAAAAATAACCACAAAAACCAAGACCACAGGGAAAGCCCCTGGGTGGCTCTGGTGGGAAGGTGCTGCCACAGAGGACCATGAGGCCACTGAGACCATCTGCCGTGGGCTGAAGCAGACTAGATGTCAGGCCATGGCCTGCACTGGGACAAAAGAGTAGTCCTTGCCCTCGGGACACATGGATGTATTTGGGGCTCAGCTCTCAAATATGGTGGGAGAAATGGGCTCCAAGATGGGCACAGGCAGCCCAGCGCTAGTGGGCAGCACGGTGGCTGGGCAGCCGGGTGATGGGCACTTCCTCGAGTTGGCATTGGCCTCAGGCCACTAAAGGGTGGGCACAGGGCCGGGGAGATAGCTCAGTAGAATAAGTGCTTGCCTGGCAAGTGCAAGGTCCTGAGTTCAATCCCCAAAGGGTGGGCACAGCCCTTGGCATAGCCCCGCCTCACCTTGTCCAGGCGCAGGCAGCAGAACGGGGCCTTCACGGGCAGGAGGTGGCACAGGGTGGGGGAGCTGCCGATGTAGGGTGAGTTGGGTGGGTAACCCTTCACGTATCTGCCCAGAGATGAGACAGACAGGCTCTCATACCAACTGCAGACCGCCCAAGCCCCTCACCTAAGAAACCACTCCGAGCCAAGCTACGTGGGGCCAGGACTCGGAGGTGCAGTCCTTGCTCCTGGATCAGGAAAGGCTGCCAGGCCAAGGCTGGGGACTTGGCCCCCAGTGGGGCCCTGGGGTGGCTCAGGCCAAGAGGGGTGCACAAGGGCCCTCACTCGTCTTTCAGCAAGTGTCCAGGCCTCTTGTTCCCAACAGTGCCAGTTCACACCACGCATACCCCCCATGCCAGGCCCTGCCAGACGCCTAAGGGACGCAGCCTTAGGGGCCTACCTGCCCTGCCCTCAGCGTTGCAACCCTGGCCATTGGCCCCGTGGCCAGAGCCACCCAGGGATTAGTGGGCACACAGCAGTGGGCCGCATGTGGAGCCCTGGCTGGGCCTCTGCTGAGTGCACAGGAAGTGACCACTCAGGGTGGGCTGTGGCCCTGTGCCTGACATGGGCTCCTGGGGTCACTGCGGGTGACCCCGAGGACACCTGGAGCCCGGCAGGCTGTGCCCTGCGATGCTAAGGGGTGGGCGAGCCTGCCTGCCAGCCCCCACCCACACGCACTCCACCGTGGAGAGACCCTCATCCTCAGAGGGCGTCGCCTCGTCCTCTGACTGGTCACTCAGCAGGTCGCAGGGCAGCAGTGCTGAGCTGTCCGCCAGCTCCAGGACGGGCGCGATGCTGGGGCGCCGGCTGCCCGAGCCATTCTCCGTGGGCAGCGTCAGCTTGCTGCCCCCGCTGCCCTGCGTGGGCCGGCACTCGGTGTGCTGCAGGTCCATGGCCACAGTCCCTGGGGGGCAGGAGCAAGGCCAGGCCGTCCCCACCGCCACTCGCCTCTCGCGGGCGGCTGGGTCGTGGCCCAGCAGTGGTCCCCCTGACGCCCGCCTGCACCCGGCTCACCCATGGAAGCGATGATGCTGTGCACTGGCAGCCGCGCGGGCCCCTGGGACAGTGCCTGGCCACGCTGCTTCTGCCTCTCCTCCTGCTTGAAGATGAAGGCCGAGTTCTCCTCCTTGGTGATGTTGATGTAGAAGCAGGTGTCTGAGGCAGCCAGGATGTGCCGCGGGCCCGGGTTCAGCAGGATGCTCTTGTTGTCCTCGAGCTTCAGCCCAATGAGGCACACGCCATACCTGGGCACACAGGGCAGCCGTGCGGAATCCCATGAGCCCTGTGGGCCCCGCCCTCCGCAGTGCCCGCCCCAGCCCTGGATTCCCAGCTGGGCTTCCGTCACCCCAGGCCACACGTACTTCTTGTGGGAGTGGAAGGCCGCGTAGGTGAAACTCTTGCCCTCGTACTCGCGGAAGAACTTGCTGTCGCCCATGCGGATGTGGTAGACCTCGTTGCCCGAGCAGCGCCCGTACATGCGCTGCCACTGCTCCGGGGACTCCTGTCCTTCCCTGCCAGCAGTGGGGGGCGGGGGACTGTCACTGTGGGTCCTGCCCAGCCGCGCCCCTGCCTGCGCCCGCTCCTGTCCTCTGGAGGCTCCACAGAGGTGGCAGCCATGCCCGGGGCCCTGCCCTGTCTCCGGGGATGGCGGGGGGTGAGGGACACTCACTGGCCACGGGATGTGTGCACCAGCAGGGTGATGAGTGTGGAGGTGGCTGGGCAGACGCAGTTCAGGGCCAGCATGGCGTACTTGCACTCCTCCTCACACACCACGTGGTCTAGGACAGAGGTCAGGGCCACCACCGTGCCCGCTCCCCAGGCAGTGTGCACGCTGAGCCCCGTCCGGGCCCTCCACCCTGGGCCTCCAGGTGCCTCTGTGTGTCCCTGCTGGTTCCCAGCTCTGCCCGAGCTCCGAGATGCCCCCCAGGTGCCCTGCCCAGGCCCTGCGAGCACAGCTGCCTGGCACACTGCCGTGCCTGTGCTCAGCTCTGGCGCCAGGCGCTGTGGCCCCAGATGCGGTGCAGATGAAGGGTGTGTGTCCCCACGGCCCCGCCCTCCCTCCTGCCTGGGCCCAGGCGCACCTGCGAACTTAACGTGGAACTTGTTCTCGGGCTTGAGGATCTGCACGTACAAGGGGCAGTTGGGGGCGAAGTCCTTCACAGCCCAGGCCCGCAGGATGGTCTGGTGGTCCTGCGGGAGGCGGCTGTGTCAGTGCTGGGCTGTGCAGGCCTCGCGGGCCCAGTGCTGCCTCCGCGGCCTCACTCACCGCGGCCGTGCGGTCCACCTCGTTCCGGCTACTGAGGATGAAGCAGGCTTCCCCGTTGTCCATCCTGCAGGGCAGCGGCTGCTCACAGTGGGTGTGCAGGAGCGGAGGCAAGGGCAGCTTGGCCTCCTCCTCCCTGCCTCTCTGGGCACGTTCAGGTGACCAGGCTGCCAGCACACCTCATAGGGCACAGCTCAGCACTGAGCAAGGTGTGAGGGCTGCATGGAGCACTCACTGCCCTCTGGTGGGCCCGGCTCCTTCGCTTTCGGCCTCCAGCCATCAGAGGGCTGGGAGCTGGGGCAGGCCGAGACCCTGCCTCGCTGTATGCCAACCCCCAGGCCCTGGCATAGTGGATCCCACTGGGGACACTGTCCAGCCTCCAGACCCCGCTCCGGGTCCTCCTCTGCCTGGCCACACTACAGTGACCACCACTGTCCCCCAGCCAGCCAGCCCCACTGCAGCCCATGTGGCCCCAGTGCCTTGCTGACAGCTAGACACCTGCTGCCCCCAAGCCATGCACAGGTAGTGCAGGGCTACATGGAGCACGGATAAGGCCAAGAGTGGTTTGTCCAGTGGGGCCTGGCTCCAGGCCCAGTGGAGGACCCTGGCCGGTGTCCTGGCTGGCTGCCTGTGGCCCCACACAAGCCTTGGCATGCGAGGGGTAGGGATATTCCTGGAGTGGAAGCCTGTGCTTCAGGGGCTTTGGGGAGTCCAGGAAGTGTGCCGTGGCTTCTGGAAAGTTCCTAGTGTAGCACGCCTTCGCCTGTCACCTGAGTCACTCTGTCAACACCTCTAAGGCGAGATCCGTCCCCACCAACTCTGGCAGCCGGCTTCTCCCCCTCGTCTATTCTGAGCTCTAGAGAACTTGACACAGAAACTCCCAGACTCATGCGGGGGGGGGGGCTCCCTGGGCAGCCCTGCTGGTGACCCCGCTGTCTGAGCCATCTCAGCCGGCCTGCACTTACTTGGCCCGCATGAGGTCTTGGTCCTTGAGAGCGGAGCCCTGCAGGTAGATGACCCGCTGGGACCACAGGGGGATCTGCAGGACCCTGCGCACCTGGACGTCCATCTCGGTGGGGCACAGGATGACCACGTAGTAGTCCTGCCGGTGGGGTGCAGGTCAGAGCCCCCCGGCCCTGCCAGCTCGACCCCAGCGCAGCCTTCCCTCAGGACTTCCCAGGCAGGCAACAGGCCTGGGCGCCTGCCTCACCTGCAGCCGGGGGTGGGCGTAGAACTCGTTCAGAAAGTCCATGAGGAGGTCGACCTTGAGGGAGCTCACGCACAGGACCACGTGCTTCTCCGTCTGCGCCCGGTGGCGGCTATAGTTGCCCCCTGACTTCTGCCGTTCCACCCAGAGGAAGACGAGCTCCTCGAACTGCAGGGGGGAGGGGTGAGCGCGGCGCAGGGGGCGGGGGCTCTGGCACTGACCCAGGCGCCTCAGGGGTGCCTGGCCGGCCAGGGGTCGCAGGGACAGGGACGAGCGTCCTGCCCGGACAGGACCAGGTGGGATCCATGGTGGGTGGGGCAGATGGTGTCCACCACTGGCACATGGCCACGGAGACACAGTGGGTCCAGACCTCGGCCTTGGCTGCCGAGGCCTGAGTGGACGCCAGGCAGCCCCAAGACCCTGCTTTTACTTGAGCCCTGGGTTTACCTGCGCTCAATGGCTGCTAGTATAAGCCCCTGGGGAGGGCAGAAAGGAGGGCGGGAAGGCTCCTGGGAAGCCAAGCGTCGGGCTGTTGACCTCCAGGTGGGGCCCACAAGGGCGCTGGCCCCACCAGGCCCAATGCCTGCATCTGAGGGGATAGGCACAGCCTTTGCACCCATGGCGCCGAGCCCACCCACATGTACAGCCCATCCCACTCCTGAATGGACAGTGCAATGGCCCCTTTGAGGGGCGTACAGGCGACCACAGACAGCTCCCACGGAAGGACTTGCAGCCACCTCTATGTGCTGTGTTTGTGGGCCCACCAGGCACCTCCCTGACCAGTGATGAAAGCATGTGGTTGGTCCCAACAGCCAGGCCTCTGGGACAGGCAGGGTGGGCCTGCCCTCAGCAGCCCGGGCCATGTCCCCGCCTCACGGGTGGCATGGTTCTGAGCCTCTGCCTCCCCAAATGTCCATAAAATGTGGAAGTGTGCCTGCCTCTGGGTGTCAGAGAAGAGTAAATGAGTTAAAGAGGGGGTTCAGCACTGACCCCTAAGACTCCCAACTGCCCAGAGCCTCAGATATTGACGTGAGGTCATCAGGAAGTAGGGGCACCAGGAACTGAGTGGCTGGGGGGACCTCCCTGCTCAAAGCGCCCGCCAGCCTGATGCTGAGGCCCACAGCTTGTTCCCGAGCCTGAAGGAAGTCCCAGCAGACACCGGAAGGGCACCCCTGAGCTCGGGGAGCACAGCGGGATGATAGGCCCCAGCCCTTGGTGTCCCTGATGAGGCCCCGGGGGAGACCGGAAGTGCCCCCATGCTGAGGTCGGCCACTCATGGCAAGTCCTGGCCACTGGCAGCCCTGTGTGGGACAGCTCGTGGCCCCTGCTTGTCTCAACACCCAGTCCGGCCCTGGGAAACCAGTAGACGCTACCTGGCTCTCCCTGTGGCTTCTAGGGCTGAGGCGCCCACCTCTGCTGTGAGTAGCCATGTCCCAAAGTGCACGCAGGGAGTGTGGGAGCCACAGCCAGGCAGAGGCCCTGCCCTGTATGCAGACCGACCACAGCAGCCCCGCCCGTGGAGGCCGCAGGTGTGGCCAGTGTTACTGGAAAACCGTCAGCCACAGCGCTCACGGCCACAGCCCTCTCTTCTGGGTTTCCCTCAAGAGGGCTCAGGTGTGAGGGTGATGCCTCCGTGGCTCACAGATGAAGATGGGGACAGGGACATTGGGACAGATGGTCATGGCCTAGGCCCAGGCACAGCAGGGGGGCACAGAGAGCGGGTCTACACAGCTGATTTAGGTTTTGATTAAATGGGAACAAATCAGTCCTGGTTCAACCTGGATTTCACGCACACAGCTACGGACATGGCCTGCAGCCCATCCTCATTTGGGTGGGGAGGGCGGCCAGAGCCCACAGAGGGCTGGAGACGCAGCACCTGGGCTCCAGGAATGGCTTAGTTGAGTGTCCAGAGCCTCTGGAAAGCAGGGACTTTCACAACGGACAGCGGCTTCACTGAGGAGGTGTTGGTGGACAGAGGGCAGGGCAGAGCCCCAGACCCTGGAACCACCGTCTCTTAGACCCCCTGGGCCACAAGCTTGGGACGAATGGCCCTCAGAGCCGTGGAGGGCCAGGCTGCGCTTAAGCCCCTGGGGTGTGGCTGTGTCAGTGGCCCTGTGCTCCTCAGACATGGGGGTGGCCCAAAGCAGGACATCGCGGCCAGCTGGGGAGAGGGAGAGGGAGAGCTCGAACATATAAGGACGAGAAAGGAAACCTCACTCCTTGGGGACAGGGTCGTCACCTGCAGAAAAAGGCCCCGTCCAGCAGAGCTTGCCACACACCCTCCTGGCACCAGCCACCCTGGAGGACACCGAGGGGCATGCAGCGTTTTCCTGCCACCTATTCCCTGGGTCCTGTGGATAGTAGGGTTCCCACAAACCCCAGAGTGCAACAGATGGGGCCGCAGGGATCCCGGTCGGGGAGGGAGAGTTGGACAGGGCTGTCCCACCACGCTAGAGTTCATTCTGCGCGGCTGATCCCTTTCGGAGGAAATGGAGGACCCTAGCTCAGGACAGTCTGCTCAGACCAGACAGGAAACAGAGGGAGAGGGCGGGGCGCTGGCTGCAGTGGCTCCCCTGTGTCTGTAGCCGGGCCCAGGGCGCAGGCCCGCAGTTCCGTGCAGAAGGTGCAAAGAAGGACTGGGAGAAGCAGAGGCGAGGGAGGGGGCGGGCGGCCTTCCAGGTATCAGAGGGCACTGGCAGGGATGCAGAAAGTGGCCAGTGCCGCCACGGCAGCTGCCTCAGCCCGGCTGAGGGTGGACTCCAGCTGGCTCTGCCTCAGACCGCAAAGGCCAAGGCCCAGGCCCAGCTCAGGCAGGAGACCCTGTGGCACAGCGTCTGCCTGGCTCTGGACAGGCACATGGGGTGGGTGGCGGGGGAGCTGCTCTGGGAAGCTGAGGGCAGCAGCCACCCTCCTGGTGCCCAGGATCCCTGCAAGCTGCCGCCCCACTGGGCTGTGGGTGGGGCGAGGTCACCCAGCACAGAGGGACCCCACGCTCCTAGAGGCAAGGCTGAGCTCCCCTCCCCTGCACCCCAGCACCAGCAGCCACATGGCACAGCTGACTCAGAGTTGCAGGGCCCGCGCCGAGCGCGCTGCCCAGCTGGCAGCCGCCCCGCCTGTCCCCATGCCTGCCACTGCCCACCACCGCCCCGTGAGACCGACCTGCAGTGGAAGCACCACGAGGGCGACACAAATCATGATGACCACCAGCAGCTGTGACGGCCAGATCTTGGGCGTGACGTCGCCGTAGCCCACCGTGGAGAAGGTGACGATGCAGAAGTAGAAGGAGGTGAGCAGGTCCAGGTTCTCGCCAGCGCGCTCCAGGTGCTGGATGCCACAGGTCCTGGGGGCGGGCACTGTGAGGGCAGGGCCCGCTGCCCTCTGCCCACGCGCAGCCCCAACGCTGGGTCTGAGCTCAGCCTGAGGCCCGCTCCAGCCCCACCCCACGAGGGCGCTGCCTGCCCTCGCAGGCTCCCTGGCCCCACTGCGCCCGCCCTCCAGGCGCTCACCCTGTGAAGACCAGGCAGAGCAGGGTGCAGAAAAGAATGAGGACCTGGTTGAACATGGCCGACTGCGTCCGCAGGATGGCGCGGTGGAAGTCGTTCTGTGGGAAATACCATGTGTCATTTGGGGACAGCACCGCGACAGACCCTGCACATAGCAGGGAGGGGATGCAGGGAGCAGGTGGCCGGGTGCCACCTCCCCCAGCGGGAACACAGAGCAGCCCAGACCTCAGCATCCTCCCGGGACCCCCTTCCCGGCCTGTGCCTGGCCAGGGGCTATGGCCCCACAATCTCACTGCACAGCCAGGCTGTCCTGGGCTGGGCTGGAGACAGTGGGGCTGCCATTCCCAGGGGCGGACCAGGCTCTTCGGGGCCTGGGGGAGACCTGAGGCCTGGCTCTCTTGTCCCTGGCACCTGCGGCCTGGCCACCCAGGTCCTGCCTTCTCTCCTACACCTCCCAGCCCTTTCCCTCCTGGGCAGGAGGTCAGAGTGCCGGGCTGCCCCCGGCCCGGGGACAAGGACATGGCTTACGATCATGTTCTCCAGCGCATGCTTGGCCAGCCAGCAGTTGAGGAACACAGGGATGAACAGGTTCCTCAGCGGCGACCAGAAGACCTGAAGGAAAGAGGGGTCAGGTGGGGCAGGAGCGCGCAGCGCAGGCGGGCGGGCGGCCGGCAGCTTACCCACCGTGATGATGAAGGGCAGCGTGTTGATCATCTCCAGGACGAAGGACACGCGGAAGATCTGCTCCCAGATGTTGCCCTGGGGGCCAGGCGGTTCAGAGCCCGTGGGAGAGGGCACGGGACGGGCACCCTCTAGAGCGGGACAGGAGGGTCCAGGGCAGTGGGGGCTGGCACAGGCAGGGCAGCTGGCAGCACTCACCTTGTAGCTGAGGTAAATGAGCAGCATCGTCTCCAGGAAACTAATGGTCGCCACGATGACCTGGGGAGGAGGGACAGGCTCAGTGGCCTGGAGGCCAGGGCCGGGCACACACAGAGAGGGATGCTGGCCTCCAACAGGGACAGTTGGACACAGCCCCTGCCCAGTGGAGGCAGGAGGATGCTGTCCTGTCCTGTGGCCCCAGGACAGGGGCCCTGAGTGCAAGGAGCACGGGGGAGCTCTGCTCTGCCTCTCTGGGGGTGGGGGGTGGGCACGGAGCCCCCACAGCTCCTGCTGGTCCCCAGGGGAAGGCTGTCATTTGGTCAGAGCCACTGTTGCCCACTGAGACAGGAGCAGTGGTAGAGTCGAGAAAGCACCCCCAGGAGTTGGCAGGAAGACAGCAGGGTGGAAAGGAGGGGAGGGCAGAGCCTGGGGACACACATGCAGGAGAGAGCTGGGCCTGGGGCCCACTGCGGGATGCAGGCACTCACCTGGGTCACCCACAGTTCCAACTTCCTCTCCACCCACAGGATGGGGGCCCTGGGGAGAGAGGAAGGAAGGAAGGTGAGCATCAGGCAGGAGCGCAGCCAGGCCCAGCCAGGCCCAGGGGCGGCAGCACTGCAGGGGCCACAGCCGGACGAGGGGACATTCCCAGATGGACCCCTGGCCCTGGCCTCAGCTGAGCATGTCCACAGCAACTAGGGCTCCTGGAGTGGCCGCCCGGTCTACCCATCCAACCTGCCCACCCCACCTGGCCCTGCCCCAAGAGGCCTGGCACAGGGGCAGGGCCAGCTCACCAGTTGATCTCGGAGGATGAGGCATTGAAGGTGTAGTTTTGCTTGGGGCAGCCCCAGCTGTGGAGAGACGGAGTGCTGGCCCAAGCACAGCCTGGCCAGCAAGGACCCCAAGGGTCCTTCCTGGGGGTCAGGGCTCAGGGTCAGGAAGCACCTAGGTGTCCGTCCTGTACCTCTGCAGGGGGCTGTGTGCTGGGCTGTAACAGAGCCAGGGTGAGGGCCCGTAGCTAAGGGGAGTTGGGCTCAGCTCATGGGAACACACCCCACATCCGGAGACTGCCTGGGACACCAATAAGCTCTCAGGAGGCCCTGACCAGCCAGAGGTGGAGCTGGCGGCAGCTGCCCCAACAAGGCTAGACACAGTCCCAGCAGCCCCCAGGCTGCCCCGGTGGCACACAGCCCTCTGGGCCACCTGGAACCAGGTGACATGGCCCAGAAGACAGGCTGGCTTTGCTCCAGACCTGGGCCAGGGCCAGGTCACTGGCCAGAGGGACCCCACTTCCCCCAGCACCACAGCAGGGGCTGCTCCCCACGCTGCCCACCTGTGTCGCTGAGCCTCAGTTGGGCTGTTGCCAACTGGGTGCACAGAAGCGAGCATGAGTCTGTTCTCCCACCCACCCGTGGACCCACCCGCCCACGCGCGGACCCACCCCCGGACCCACCCACGGACCCACCCGCCCACGCGCGGACCCACCCGCAGACCCGCCTGCGGACCCACCTACCCACCCACCTGTCCACCAGTGGACCCACCTGTCCACCCGTGGACCCACCCGCGGACCCACCCGCGGACCCACCCGCCCGCCCGTGGACCCACCTACTTGCCTGTGGACCCACCTGCCCGCCCGTGGACCCACCTGCCCGCCCGTGGACCCACCTGCCCGCCCGTGGACCCACCTGCCCTCCCGTGGACCCACCTGTCCACCCATCTACCTCCTAACCCATTCTCTTACCCAACATCCATCCTTTCCTTTTTTTTTTTTTTTTTTTTTTGGTCTTTTTGCGGCAAGGGCTCACTATGTAGTTCAGGCTGGTCTTGAACTGACTTTGTAGCTCGGACTGGCCTCGCACACACAGTGATGCTCCTGCTTCCCAAGGGCTGGGATTCCAGGTGCATGCACCACACCCCACTTCCCCTCTTACTACCATCCACCCACCCATCCATCCTGGTCCTACCCAACATCCCTCTATCCCCCCACCCACCACCTCCATTCTTACCCCACATCCACTCATCCATCAGCCATCCATCCATCATTACCATTCCCCGTCCTCCTATGACCTCCATCCTCTTACCCCACACCCACCCGTCCATCCATCGTTGCCCACCCCTTTTCCAGCACTCCTCTGTTCATCTCTCATCACCATCCACCCACCACCTACCCATCCACCCCTCACTGTTCCTACGCCCCACACATTCTTCCAAGCCACAATCATCTAACACCTACTTCTCGTTTCCTCCCCTATCCATCTATGCACCCACCACACACCCACCCTCCACCATCCATTGCCACCCATTCAGCCTCCTCCCATCGTCACCCACTCACTCCCCACTTCCTACCTGGCACCCCCACGGCAGGCCCTGTGCTAGAGATGGGCAATGAATACATTGTGTTGAGCCCTCTGGGGAGGCTGAACCAGAGCCTGGGAACCCCTGGGATTGGAGAAGGCCACATGCACTCAGGAAAGAGGGTCAAGTCGCACCAGAGCCCTGTTGCTCATTCCCAGTCACCTTGGTGGTCTCTTCCCTATGAAGAGAGCATTGTGATTCTCCACAATGGTGGGGCCCGGCCTGGGAGCACCAGGGCCCCTGGAAGTGGGTAACAGAGGACAAGAGGCGCTAAGCAGGAGTGTGGGAGCCAGGCCTGGCCCGGCCCCTGCCTGGCCCTGGGGAGGCCAAGTGCAGGCAGGGTCCCCAGGTGGCCTGGCAGCTGCAGCCCCACCTGTGGTGCCTGTGGCCACTCTTAAAGGTCAATAGCTGTGAACAGCACGAGATTTGAGAAAGCCCACGCGTGAAGAGCAGGGGCCTGCACGAGGAAGGAGAATGGGCTGAAGAGAAGGGGAAACCAGAAGCGAAAGGCATGGCCAGCTCGCCCCAAGGCCGGAGGGTAGGCGGCCCAGGACAGAACAGCCCAGCCACCACCACCTGCAAGCAGGGGACAGGAGGACTGAGCACCAGGCTGGGCCAGGGCACACAGCAGGAGGCCGTCTACAGAGATGTGGTTCCTGGCAACTGAAGCCCCCTGGACCAAGCCAGAGAGGCGCAGAGCCGTGCCAGTGTCCCTGGTACAGAGCCAGGCAGCTTCTGTGGACAAGGCTCCCCCGAGAAGCCAGGCCGGGAGCTGCACCAACTGCTCCGGCAGCAGTGACAGCCAAGTGGCAGCCAAGGGCCACAGAGACAGTTGGGCAAGGTGCCTGCCTCCCTCCCTGGACCCATGAGGGACCCTGGCCTGCAGGCGCCACTTCCCTGACGTGGGGGATGAAAGAGTGGCCAAGGATGTGGACACCATGGGTCCCTGGGGTCAGACGGAGCCTTAGAGATAGAACACACAGACCTGCATTCTGCTCTGGGGACTTCTGGGGAACTCACACCGCCCCATGTGGGCCCGGACCCTCTGCAGAGCTCCCCGGACAGGACCCCTCCCACTCTGGGCACTGCCCTGGCTCCGCCGGGAGCTAGGCACTGGGGTCACCTGGGGCTGGGGGCTGGTCACAGGCTCAACCCCAGGGCCCTGACTGCAGGACCCCTGGTCACCCACCATCCGATGCCCAGGGCCGGGTTGTCCAGCAAGACCCGGACAATGTAGAGCAGGCAGGTTAGCAGCTTGAGCGAGAAGTTGAACAGCCGGATCCGGAGGCCTGTGGGCAGGGGCAGTGTCACCTGGAGCTCCGGGAGGAGGGTCCCCAGGTCCTGCGGGGTTCTCCCCAAAAGCACTTGGGGGTGGACCCCACACACCCTGGGGCTGCCCAGGAGGGAGGGGCGCTATAGGACTTCAAGGCCTAGGGTGTAGGGGGCCCTGAGGCTGCTCTGCTCCGTGGGGACCATCCTGGCCTGGAGGGCTGACAGGACCTCTGGGCCTGCATCCTGGCTGGCAGGAGAATGGAGGTCACAGGAGTCCTCATTGAGCCACCTAGTGTCATGGGGTCTCAGCCCCGCCCCCTGCAGACCACCATTCTCAGGAAGTAGAGGGGCTGTCTCCTGTGCCCTCCCACTGCCCAGCAACACTGCCTTCGGCTCCGTCCCGCCCACTCTGAGCTGTTGGCCCACAGGATCCACTCACTGGATCTTTGGTTTTTGATGAAGAACAGCTTCAGGCGCTCCTTGAAGGTGTTCTCATTCACGTAGAACTCCACCTGGACCCTGGGGGCAGGACAGGTCAGGTCCAACGGGGCAGGTTAGGTGGCAGGGACAGCCTGAGCCTGAGGCCATCCCTGAGCCACATGCCTAGGGCCAGGATGGCCTGCGCCCTGCCCACGCAGGTGGCTGATGTGGGCGGGCCAGGGCCAGGGGGGCCCTTATCCAGCACAGCACAGCAGAGTTGCATGGAAGGGTCATCACTGCAGGCCGAAACCCCCTGCCGGGGCCATCCTGGGCCACATGGAGGGGGCCACCAGCCGGCCACAGTGCACGTAAGGCTACACTAGCCCAGGTCACTGTCCCTACCCTGCCACTGTTCCCAGGCAGATGGTTGTGGGCACCACTCTCCTCTACAGGCACGGCCTCCACCCAGGCAGTGGGAGAGTGTGATGCCCCTCTTAGTGGAGCTGGCTGCCCTGATATCCAAAAAGGAGTTTGAAAGTCACCCCCAAGTGTGAAAGGCTCCCCAAGTCAGAGCAAGGGGTGTGGCTGCCCTGGGCTTATCTGGGGCTGGAGACACTTCAGCTACACAGGCTGTGCTCTCACAGGCCTCTGGAGGGGCGGCCAGGTCTGGGACAGAGCCGCACCCCGCTTCCCCGTACTCCTGGGTTAGCGACAGCCAGCAAGGCCTCCCGCAAACCAGCAGGGGTCAACCCGGGCTTCGGGGTGTGCCCCACACTGGGGAGCCGGGCCTGGCCGCAGTGCCTAGCACACTTCTTTTTTATAGGGGACCTGGACCCCAGGCCATGCTCGGGGGACCCCAGCATTTTGTCACATGCCTCTTTCACCAAAGGATCTGGGCCGTGGCTGAGGGAGACAGCTAGCATCAGGGCTCGGCTGCTTGGCCCCAGGTTGGGGGCAGTACGGGGCAGGGGTTGCCCTTGGCCTGGGCCCAGGGCCTCCGCAGCACCCATCCCTTGCTGCCAGGTCCCCAGGACAAGCTGCACCCTCAAAGCAGCTGCAGAGCTTTCTGGCTCCCCTCCTTCCTCCTCCCCTGTGAGGCCTTGCGGGTCCCCTGCCTGCTCCCTCCACCTCCCCAGGGGACCCCCACCAGGTGATTGAGTCCCTCCTTGTCTCTGGACCTCACCCGGTCCCAGTCAGGCCCTTACTCCACATTCTCCAACTCCCCCACCCCACCCCGAATGTGGGTACGCAGGGCTGGGCACAGGTGCCACCTGAGGCCCCTGCACCTGGCGAGCCAGGCTCCTGCCCTGGCCTCTCCTGGCTCTGGCTGGGCCATGGACCAAGTGTCCCCAGTCCATGTCTGATCCCCACGGTGGGGCAAGCAGAGGAAACCCGATGGACCCCAGAGGTGGCAGGGTCAGCTAACGCCACAGGCGCCACGGTCCAGCCCTCGTGGCACTACAAGGGGACAAGCCAGGTCCCAGGAGCATACCCCTCGCCATGGGAAGCAGGCTGCCTCGGCTTCCATCCCCACAATGGCTGCCAGGTGCTCCCTGGGCCCTGGGCCATGCAACCCCTGAGGCGAAACCTTTCTAACTCATGTCGTTTGCAGCAGAGAGCAGGCTGCGGTGCTGTCCTGCCGCACTCTCCACTCCTGGCCCTCCAGCCCTCCTGGCCCAGCCCTGTCTTGCACATGCTGGGGACCTGGGCTCCGGGTCCTCTCGGGCATCCACCCCAGGCAGGACAGAGCCCAAACCTCACCCCTTCGGCATCCATGCCCGCCTCCAGGAGAGCCAGACACTGCCTGGGGCCATCCCTGCCTGCCCCAGTGCAGGCTGACGTCTGGGCTCCAGCCCAAGGCTCCCCCTTGACTGCCTGCTGGATGTGGATTTCCCAGCTCCAGCGGTGCCCCATGCCCACACCCACTTCCAGCTCCACTGGTCCCCCGATCTCCTCGGCTCCTGCTCCTTCCCTCTGCCCACCTGGGCCCTCGCCCTGAACTCAGAACACGTTGCCACCCAGAGACCAAGAGCTGTGTCCCAGGGAGCTGCTTTCTCTTCACAGCTAACAGCTAGGCAATGAAGACAGCCATGACAGCTGCGTCCTCCCTGGGGCTGGGACCGGCAGTGTTATTCCTGCCTGGGCGCTGAGGGGTTGGCGTGCCCTTCCCCCAGGGCACAGGGGAAGCTCCCATCTCAGACCGGGGATACCGTGCTTGAGGAAGCCATGGGCTGGCAGCCTGGCCCCCGAGGTCTGAGTCCTGTGATGCCAGGCAAATTAATGAAGCCGCCTTCGCCTTTCATTTTTAATGAACTGCGGCCACCCACTTCGGCCAAACCACCACAAACAGTGGATCAGCTCTACCCATTCTCCTGGGTGTGTGAGGTGCCAGCGTGCTGGCTGCTGGGGCAGGGGGCTTTGGACAGGGCCCGGCAGGGCCAGCTCCAGGCACCCCTCCCCCGTGGCCCGGCCCCTCCTGCACCCCAGGCTTATGGGCACCACTGGCTCTCCCAGGATCTGGAACAGTGCTGGGTTCCTAGCCAGGGCCCCAGCAAGGACACCAGCACCCCTGAGAAGCCTGGCCCTACCTCATCCTACACCCTCCAGGCAGGACGACGACAGGAGGCGCCGGCAGGGGAGAAGCTTTTTCAGTGGTGAGGTGAGAATGAGCTTGTGCCAGGCTCAGGGGAGGATGTGTGACAGCCATTGGGCAGATGCAGAGGGTGGGCAGCGTGGCCAGGTCTGCCTAGGCCCATAAGGCTGCACGGGTAGCAACACACCCCTGCAGGACCAGTGGGTAGGGACAGGTCGGACGTCAGGAGGGGGCAGGTAGCAGGCTGGGGGTGGGCAGTAGACTGCTGGTGCAGAGAGACCACACCCACACCCAACCTGAGCGCTCGCCATCACCTGCCCCTGAGATCTGTGTGCTCTGGACCCGGCCTCTGCTGCTTCTCCCAGGCCCAGACCACCTCCCCCAGGCCACCAGCTGTCCCAGGTTAGCCTGCTGTGCGGGATGCCAGGCCTCAGCCCCCAAGTACGCAGGAGCAGGTCCACGTGTCCACTGAGAATGGGAGGGCTCCAGGTGGCTTTAGGGATGGGGGTGGGCTGGTGACTTTTCAGATGGTCCTGGCCTGGTTCTCCCCACAAGGCAGCCTTCCTGGGACCAGCGAACTACTGTCTTGGCCTCAGGCCTCCAAGGGTCCAGAGATATGTACTCTGACCAGAGGCAGACATACGGGCCACATCCCCTGAAGGCCTGGAACCCAGATCCCCAGGGTCAGGAGAGCCCTGTGGGTGGTGGGCACCACTGCCTAGGACCCTGAAGGGGAGCCTTGCAGGACACCCTGACTGCAGCGGGCAATGGCCCATGGCTCCAGGGGATCACACGACAGGCCCGGCCCTTGCAAAGGAGGCCCCTTACAGACTAGTGATGCTACTGACCACTGCTGGCCACAGCATTCATTAACGAAATGCACGACACATGGCCCCACCAAAGGCCACAATGCGGCAGCCTAGAGGGGGCTATGCTGGGGGCACTGGCTTCCCCACCGGAGCACCACCGACACTGGCCTGACCTTCAGCTGGGCCCCAGCCCGGGGCCTGTGCCCTGCCTGATCCAGCAGCAGATGGTGCTGAGACCAGGCCCAGGAGCCCTGCACTGCTGTCATATGCTGCCCAAGACCACTCAGCACCCCCCGCCCCCCAGAGCCAGGAGGTGCTGACCAGCTGTGCCCTGCCCAGGCGGTGCGGACTGTCCCATGAGACTGGTCCACCAGGGCATGAGGACCTGTCTGTCCCCAGATGAGTCCTTCCCCTCAAAGCACTTACTGGGTGAGGGAGGAGTCCAGGCTGAAGTCTTCCACCTGCAGCCTGGGACACAGGGCAGACATCAGTGCAGGAGGTGGTAGGTGGGATGGCCTCTGGGCCAGGTCGGGGTTCAGGGCGGGGTCCGACCTGAGAGTCCCCTGGGAGTAGCGAGAGTGCCGGAGGAGCCCAGCATGCAGGCGGGCGGAAGCCAGGCCTGACCCGCAGCCCCAGGAAACCACAGGCCTCCCCACCACCAATGTCACATGCAGCCCGGGCAGGAGGCTGGCCGAGCGCTGGCACGCCCAGGCCGTCACCCTATGTCGCTGCTTAGCGCCAAGCATGCCCCAGGCCGCCACCCCAGGAAGCAGCTGCGGCAGAGCAGCCCCTGCACAGGGCCATGCGGCTCACCATCTGCGAGGCAGCCCCTGCCTCCAAGAGGCCAGGGCACATGGCTGGGAGCCAATGCTTGTTAGGGGGCTGAGGAGCAGCCCTCCACCAGGCCAGGAAGGGCAGCTCGGCCTGGGGTCCCAGATGGCTGGTGGGCAGCCAACACTGAGGGTGGGGTACACACTAGACAGGGCGTTGGGCAGGGGTGTGTGGTGACCAGGGCTGTCTTGGACTAGCTCCTCAGGACTCCAGAGTGGCCTCTCCCCAAAGCAAGCTTTTTCCACAGGAGAAAGAGGTAAGAGCACCACACTCTCCAGGGCCACGCAGCAGGAGCGAGGGGCGGGCCCTGCCCACTCCCTGAGCACCGTGTGGCCGGGCAGCCGGCTCCCTCCCAGCACTGCTGCCCAGAAACTCCCACTCCCTGAGGGGACAAGGCAGAGGCTGGGCTGCCCTGGCTGGCCGAGGACCTGCAGTCACTGGAGGCCGCGGGGCCTCCAGTAGATCCTGGGAGTGAGGCTCCGCGTGCTGGCCCCCGCTCTGCCCAGACCTCCGGGCTGGGGTGAGAATGCGGCAGGGTCCGCAGGGGCTGTCACAGTGCAGCTGGGGACTCTCACCACTTGACCTGGGGCCCAGACCCCAAGGAAGCTGTGGCCCTGGCTCTGCTCCCCAGAACAGCTGAGCCCTACCTGCATGAGGCCTCCTGTCTCTTCTCAAGCCCGAGGTGGCACGTCAGGCACAAGAAGGGTGAGCCCTCCAGGCCCTGACACAGCCAGGACCGGACACTTCCTGCAGGCACATGTGTTCTCCCCAGGCCAACAATGGCCAGTCTCCCAGTGTCACCGGCCTGGGCGCACACTTCCCTAGGACGGGCAGTGGCCCCAAAGCAGCAGGCTCAGCACATGTGA